CAGCCCAGCCCAGCCCAGCCCAGACGCGGGACCTCTTACAGGGGGGGTCGAACGGCGTGTACGGCCCTTCCTCGTCCTCTTCGTCCTCCTCGCCCTCGTTCTCGTCGTTCTCGTTGTCCTCGTTCTCATTCTCCGTCTCGTTGCCAGCCTCAGCAACAACGTCGTCCCCCCGCGTCCCGTTCACACCTCTGTCCAGGGCGCTGCTGGGCCCCATCCCGTTCTCCACCGTGTGCTTAATCGGGATTTTGATGGCCACCTCGGATTCCCCATTGGCATAAGCCCTGCTGTTTATCAGTCTTTGTCTCTGGAAAAAGAAAGGCACGTTCTAATACGGCCAGAGGGGCTGCAAGTCCTCACACCCAGAACACCAGCTATTGGGATATTTCCCAGTCAGCTGGCAAGGAGGTGCTTCCAGTAGACTCTGCAGAGAAGTTCTAGGGGACTCCTCAAAGTAATAACCAACTCTGGGAGGAAGGATTAATCTTTCTGACCCACTGGAACTTGCAAATCCCTTCAGAGGAGGATCCCCATGTCTCAGATGGGCACTGCTTTCCTATCAGCGTTCTTGATTCCCTGTGTGCTGGGGTGTTAACGTTTCTCCTCCAGATTGTAGGAATTCCTCAGTCCATATGTGAGAAAGCCATACACATGTGTTTGGATTACTGTATCAATAAGGCTGCTGTTCTGGAGAAAGGAACACCCAGGAAAATTCAGGTCAGAGACTCTGCATTACTTTAAACTACGGTAACCTTGATTTAGCAACTACTTCTGTGCATTCACATCGGAGGGCTTTATTCAGATGGAAGATAAAAAGAAGAAGGTAGGTAGAAGGGATAGAAGAGTTTTTCTGTATAACTGGGAGCTGGACCACGTCTCTGGACATGTGGAGGGAAGAGCAGGGACCAAGATGCACGGCTGGTCCAGAGAGCGAAGATGTTGGGAAATGGCTGCGGGATGTTATCGTGCGAAACACTGAGGTAGGTGCTTCTACCTTCAGACCAGGAAACCTTCTCCCCTTCCCAGTTTCCCACCCCGTCCCTGGCAGATGGACTGTGCTTTCCCAGATACCTCATTGATCAACATGCGACTGGCCATGGAGAGTCGAGTCTTGGGGGGAAAGTGGCTGGTGATCATGATTCGAAGACCAGCCTCAGAGAAAGAAAGCTGGTGTGGGTAGGCTGACAGCAGCTCATCTACCATGATCACTGACGCTTTGCGGTGGAAATTGGCTGGGAAAATTAAAAACATAAAATAAAAATAACATTGATACTAGGAGCAGGAAAGAGATATTCATTCACCTTCCTTCCATTCCTTTCTTTCCTGCTCTCTCTCTTCTCTTCTCCTATCTTCCTTCCCTCCCTCCCTTCTTCCCTCCCTTTTCATCCATCCAATCACCCATCCATCCATCCATCCATCCAATCAGCCATCCATCCATTCATCTACCCATCCGACCATTCATCTATCCATCCACCATCCAATCAACCATCCATCCATCCATCCATCCATCCATCCACCCATCCATCCATTCATCTATCCTCCCACCTACCCATCTATCCTTCCTCCCTCTCTCCCTGCCTCCCTCCCTCCCTCCACCGCTTCCTTCCTCCCTTCCCTCCTCCTTCCTTCCAACTATCCATCCAACCATCCATCCAACTATCCATCCATCCTGGAAGGGTTGTCATGATCAAAATTTGAAGAAGAGTTAAAATCTGCTTTCTACGGGGCTCATCGATACCTCTTTGAAATGACCTGAAACAATTTAAGAGTCCTTCACGAACATGGTGAGAATGAGTGATAACATAAGAGAATCCCCCTTTGTCCTCAAAGGATTCTTTTCCTGCCGCTCATATCTGGGGCATAGGAAAGACCCCAATATTCTTTAGTAACACTTTATGTCCTTCAAATGTCAGCAGTGCTCATTCTGAGCTGTTAAAAGCTGCAGAATTGACATTAGTCCAGGTGGAGGACATGGTGGGGGGATGCCCACGTTGCTGCAGCCCAGCCTGTGAGCAGGGCTGCCCGGGGGCTAGGGGTGGGGAGCTGGGCTCGATTCCAGAGGGGGCTTAGGGCAAATCTTGCGTCAGGATCTGCTGGCAGGCCCGAAAATAACTTCCGTCATGGCCCAAGCCCCTCTCTGTGGATGCTGCAATACGAGCAAACAGCTCATGGGTACCTGGCCAAGGCCTCACTCCTGTTCTCCAGGCCACTAAACCATGAAATGATCTCTGGAAACACTGACTAATAAAATAGGTAGCTCTCTTTGGTTCCCTGAGAGTATTCCTTTCATGGTTATGAACTACCCTGAAGAGAAGAAACTAAATGAAATCCTTATGTGGGATGGCACTGAATACTCGTAAGTCTTTTTTTCACCATGCATATAATTAGTGAGAAAAGCATATCAAATAATTGATTTTCAAATTCTAATAAGTACCCACAGATTTCAAACTTCGATATGTATTTGAAAATAACCTATAGATTTTCTAATTTCTTTTGTTTTGCCTGAAAAGCAAACAAAATGGGACTGTGAAGAAATAAACCCACACATTTCGAGGGGAAAGTTAAAAAGAAATTAAATGAAAAATGAAACACATTCTAGGCAAACATAAATGATAATTTTCCATGTTCCTCGAAGAAAGAAAAGGATTAGAGAGCACTGTATCATCGCTTTGTGTATCAGCTACTTAATAAGTATCTATTGAATGTAAGCATTACTTTGGGGGAAAAAAGGGTAATTTCCTCTGTCATTTTGCAGCTCGGAAACTGAGCTAATGTAGCCTGAAAGTGAATTTGGATATAATAATACGCTAATAACAACTATAATTAATGGAGTATTCTGCAGACTTTATCTCCTTAACTTGTTACAAAAGTTATCCTCATTTTGCAGAAGAGAAAACTGAGGCTCAGAGAGGTTAAGTAACTTGCTTCACGGTCACTCAGTTAGAATGTGACAGAGTCAGCACTTTGACACCCATGGCCTCCTCTCCTTTACCATCTCCCCACTCTCCGTATATCACCCCCAGCACGTTTGGTCCAAGAACTTCCACTGGCTTTCAGAGTCTGTCCATCACCAGGATGAACCTGCTCCCTGCCCGATGCAGCGAGGGAGGGGGGGAGGCCTCCCTGGGGGCAGGCACACCCTCTGGGGCCTGGCGGGGGACGCAGCCCCCCAGGGTTACCTCTCTTGAGTAGCACCACGGTGGCGTCGCAGTTGCTGCTGTCGTCGATTTCAGCGTTGTTGGCCAAGCCGTTGACCATGTTTCCTGCACCCTTGGTCCTCCTCTCGAAACACTGATGTATGCAGGCGTTGTATCTGGACACGGCCATAAGCGGAAGGAGCCCATCAGCACGGCCGCACCTGCCTCCCCGGCTCCCAGCTCCCCGCAGCTCCCCGAGCCTGGACGGCCTGTGGGGGACCCTGTGCCTTAAGTTATTAGGTTATTATGTTATCCTCCTGTTTCCCCCAGAATATACAACCTGCCCATTTCCCAACTTGAGAATATACGGTAAGTGAAAATAAAGCCAACATCACGTAGATACATAGGGACACACTGCTTTCTCTGCAGAGTCTTCCATGTCAGCAGGGGGACCTCTGGGATTGAGTTCCCTTACTCGGGGTCTGTGCATGCGTGGAAGGGCTGTTGTGAGACTCAGAGGGATGGGCAAGGTCTCCCTCCTCTGGGCCACGTCCCCAGGGCCTTTGCTGTCAGGGGCATGCTTGGTGGAGGAAGGTCAAGGCGTCACATCCGTCTCTGCTTCTACCCCGGGCTCTGCATCACGGTCCACGCGTACAGGCGGGCTGGCTGTCGAGGTCTCTGTCTGCCTTTGGTTTCCTGAGGTCATAGGCTGGGAGCCTGCGAATGTCTGTCGCTGTTGTGCCATAATTCCAGGTCTGCTACGCCCTTGGCTTTATGAAAAAATTCTGGGCTATGATTCTCCAGAACGATTGAGTGAAAAAGAACCAAAACATTGTGCAGTGCTTCTTCCATGTGTGTTGGAAGGGAGGAAGCTTAGTCAAGGTCCTAGGATGTTCTGGCAGGTAAATGTCCTGGTCCCTTTATCGTTGGTATTAGAAGACTCCCATAGAGGAGTCCTAGGAAACTCACTGGTTTTTAAAATATTTATGACATTTATGAGATGAAAATAAAACTATAAAAATATTTCTGAGACCATTGACAATTTGAACACTGACTGGATACTTACTCGTATCAAAGAATTAGCGTTCTTTTAGTTGTGATCATGGTGGTTAGGTGAAAAATGAGTCCTTTAAGAGACATGCACTGACGTTTGGGTAGGTGAACTGACATGATGTCTGGGGCTTCAGGTCACGTGGGGAGAGGGAAACTGCTAGGGGTGTGGGTGGAGGAAGCTAGGCTGATGGTTGTAGGGCTCCTGGCAAGCACGCGGGGTGTGTCATGCTAGTCTGCCGACTGCTTTGCACGGTCAACGTTCTTCTTAATGGAAAGGCCTCCCCACTTTCTTTCTCTCCCCTCCTGATGGGGCTCTAGGGGAGACGTGGTGTTTCTGGCACCTTGACTCAGAATCCACTTTCCCCACAGAAATACTGACTCGCCTGGGTGTTTGCTTTAAAACTTAACAACTGTGTGTTATACATTTATCTGGATTTGGATAATAGGATAATGATACTATGTACCATAGTATTATAAGCGCTTTCTTGGAAGCAAATATTGGTTAATTACTTAACTCTTCCATCGTGTTCCATCCTACAAACACCCTTTCAGGTAGGAAGCATTGTTCATTCTGTTTTTAGAAGCAGAAACTGAGATTCAAAATGACTAAATCACCTGGCCCAGGTCCCATGGCCGGGGCTGCACAGGGAGCACTTGATCTTAACCACCAGACCACACTGCCTCATCTGGGGACCAAACCCCAGGGAAGTGACATCAAGTACAGAAATCAACCCTCGCTGAGGCCGGGTATGCCTCAGGCTCCGGTAAGCTTTCCACCTGTTGGGCCAAACTGGAATTGCTTTATGACCTTCAGACAGAATGTTTAAAGTTATTTCCAAGCCATCTACCCAGGAGGCAGCTGACGGTTCTAATACATGCTGATTTTAACGGCTACTGCTATGTTTTATACTTTTAATTGAATGTTTTAAATTTTGTGCTTGCACCCTGAAGCTATTTTATTGTGAAGCATGCAATTTTATAAATCAGATTTTATAAAACCCAGTGATTAAAGCCTCTGATTATGGAGCGGGATGGCTAAAGAGCAGAGATTTCAATTTAGAACTTAGGACTAGAATTTATGCAGAAAATTCCACGAGCACAGTAGTTGCCTTTCCCCGGTCTATTTGTATCCTGCTGGCCTGAGCAGCTGGGAGGTTGGCAAAGCTGAGGCATCAGCAGAAACACACCTCATTAGCTTCCACACTGGGCATGGTCTGGGGTAGGGAGATTGTTCACTGTGTTATCTTTATGTCCACGTGCCCCGCCGGCAACTCACGGGCATTACGATGGCTCAGTAGAGGGGTACTGTGGTCACAGAATGCACGCTAGCAAAATTCCTCAATCTTCCTTCTTTTTAGATGAAAAACACTTTTTGAAGACCTCCTTATTCCGTGTAGCCCCTGGTGAATTCAGTATGGGACATGCTTTCATCTAAATTCAGATATAAAACCCTAGATCCACGTTGGGCTTACAGCAGACAGTCAATTCTCTGGAATAATTGACGGATTCCCTTTTCAAAAGGGAATATGAGAGCTCTTGACTCTTTGGGGTCTCAAAGCATCAAAATGTAAAAAAAAAAAAAAAAAAGGTGAAATAAAAAATGCTGAAAGAAGACGTCTAATGTTGAGGCTTCCTGACTGTGGCACCGATCCCCTAGTAGTTTTGTTCTTTGAGAGAAAGAGGAACAAGTTGGCTCGTTCCATCTTTAAAGGCTTTTCCTTGGAATCTAGAAACCGTGGAAAACTTTTGGGTCAGCTCTGGTTTTCATGGGAGCTGATGTATTGGGATGCTTAAATGCAAGGTGTTTGTGGTGAAAGTATCTGGTTTCTTTGTTTGCTACCTCACGGTAACTCCACACCAGGATAAGTTTGGGTAAGGTTCTATTCTATCGGTAGAAATGTCCTCTTCCAGTCACACGACCCAGTTACTGGGTCCACACTGACTGTGGGACAGCTCCTGAGGTGGAAACTGGGTGCTACATTGAGTGGAATGGCAGCCCACCCTGGCCATCGGTCAAGCCAGCTCCTACCTTCACTGTTCCTGTGACGTTTGTCAGTGGCCACGCCGATTTCTCCCAACGGGCTCTCGGCCACCAGAATTAATCTTTGTCAGGCCTCAACAGCAAGGAAAACTTGACATGTCAATTGCAGACTGCTACCTGACGGGTCCAAATGGGCAGTTTCTGAGAGCAGTCTGCTGTCCTGCCCCCTAGAGAAGGTGATCACTCCTGCAGTCACATAGGCTGGGGAGAGCATGGACTACCTTAGAGCAAAAGGAACAGCTCCCGTGGGGCAGGAATCTGCAGCACAGAATATCTCTGCACCACTGACGACCTCCTCAACTCCATGGCACTCAGCAAAAAGATGAACTGGCAGGTTCCAACCACGGTGCTTACATTTTACATTAGAGTACGGAAAACATCAGCGACATAACTCTTGATACAGGTGGTAAGCTGTCCAGACTCCAAGGGGAACAAGCACGCATAATGTAGTGGTTTAAAATACATCCACACATTCTGTGACACTCCTCTCTTCAAAAGGCAAAGTAGACCCGTTGAGTGAGGACTGGACTGAGTGACTCTTTTCTAATAAACAGAACATGGCAGTAGTGATGGTGTGTGACTTGTGAGACCAGATCATAAAAGGTGTTGCTGGGTCCTTCCTGCTCTCTCTTGAATCACCTGCTCTTTTGGAAGCCAACTCCCGGGTGTGGGGACAGTAGAGTGGCCCTGAAGAGAAGCCCACATGGTAAGGAACTGGGGCCTCCAGCCAACGACCAGCATCTACTCACTAGCAGCGTGAGTGGGCCGTCTTGCCCCAAACGGATGACAGCCGCCCTGGACAACCTCTTGCCTCTAATCCCAAGAGAGCACCTGAGCTAGCACCCTCCAGTTCAATTGCTCCTGGATGCTTAACTCTCAGAAACTGTATGAGATAATACACGTTTGTGGTTTTAAGCCATTAAGTTTTGTGGTCATTTGTTAAGCGGCAATGGCTGACTAATGCAATACGAATAACGGAAGTCTGTAGATATTTGATCCATGGTTTTAGTTATCTCTTATCCAGCTCTGGCCCCATCTTCCCTCCACCTATATGGAAACATAACACATTGAGCTTTACCTCCTCTCTTGTTATGAAAGTGAGCAAAAAAACAGCCAAAAGCTAGGCTGCCAGGTCCTGAAGAGGGGCAAGGGTTTGAGGGATTTCTCAAACCAAACCACGAAGCTTTGATTCTATCATACATTTGGGTTGGAAGGGTCTATGCTTTTGCTATAAGTCGAGATTGCATTGATTCCTAGCAGGCTGCCCAGGGAGCCAAGTGAGCCTCTGATGACAGGTACCCGCCCTGTCCCCTGTTCCTCTGTCCACATTATCACACAATGCTGAGCGTAGGAAAGAGTTTTGGGAGAGAAACTAAGAAAGTATTTTACTTACTTCATTATGACAATGTAGATGAGATACATCAGCACGAGGACTAAAGACTCCCACCTGTGGACAAACCAAGAATGGTCAGTTAACAGAAGCCGCCCTAGACAGATGTGCCATACTCCAGGTCCTCTCAGACACGTGTGCGATGCGAACGGCAGCTCAACCTGCCAAGCACGGCAAGCATGAAGCAGACGTGCAAACAAGTTCCACATATTTCCTGGTCTGCAGACATTTCCTAGGCTGTATCCAGGTTCTCAGGATCTTTCTCTTCCTCCCCTACTTCAAAGGAAAATGCTCCCTCTTCTCTGTTATTCGTTCACCCCAAAGAATATTTTGAACCCAGCAAGCCTTCTATAATGTAGCTGAATATAGGGCTATGTGTATAAATCTGACCGCAGCTTAAGCATTCACCGAAACTATTCAGATACACTTACAAAGGGCAAACTAGAGGAATTGATAAGGGCAACCAAGGGATTGTTAGGTACATCAGAGCAAGACATGTGTAGAGAGAGGGAGACGGAGAGGGAAAGGAAGAATAGTTGGGGGGGAGGGGAGAGGGGGAGGGAGGGACAGAGGGGGAGAGATACAGACACCTTGGGCAGGGAAGGTGCTAGCAGGAAGGATTAGCGTGAACGAGTGGGAAAATGGTCGAGAGCAAGAAAGAAAGAAAAATAATGAAACCTTCTGGAATGTACCTTGAACTTCTGATACTTTGAATATTTCCTCTATTTTCTTTAGTTTAGTAACTTTCAGTTAAAAAGCAAGGGAACTTGATTTCTAGGTTCCTCTTTAGCTGTAGAATTTAATTAGTTAATTGAGGGAGTAATTTTGGCTTTAAGAAAAGGTTCCTGGAGGACGGTCTATGAAGAAATTCTAGCTTATGGCTTTCCTTCGCTTTTTCAAGTTCCATGTCTGGAAACTGATCCTGGGGAAATATGTGATCAAATGTAAAGAGGAGGCACACACAGGGTTTTCACTGCAGTGCTGTTTTATAAAAATGAAGTGTTGGAAAGAAGCAAGGCGGTTATCAGATGAAGGACTGGGTACGTGAGCTATGGTATGTCCACAGGATAACGAGCTACCATGCATTGGCTGAGAATGATCCTGCAGATATGCACGACCACAGAGATGGTCCTCTGTCATCCTGTTCAGTGTTTCTGCAGCATCTGAAGTTGATTGCCCACCCTCTTTATAAGACACTCTCTTCTCCTGACTTCTGAGGGCCACACTCCTGGTTTTCCTCCTGTCCCCTAATTTCTTCTCCCTCCCTTTGTGTCCCCTCTACTTCTTCAGTGTGACCTCTAACGTTCTCTCTAGGTGATGTCCTCTTGTCCTATTTCTGGAAAACCAACAGGCACGTCCACGCCACACTTCTCCCCGCTCCAGGTTCAGGATCCACTTGTCAATACAGCCTCTCCACGTGGCGTCTAGATGCAGGTCGGAACAGAATTCCTAATTCCTATGCCCCAGCTTCGTGTTCTCCAGGGCTTTGCCATGTCAGTGAACTGCACCGTCAAGCCCCACATCTGGAAATAGAAGTGGAGCCCTTCTCTACTCTCCCCCATGCCCGTCGGGACTCTGTGTCCAAAATATCTCTGGAATTGCGGGTGTCTGCCCGCTCCACTGCTACCTCCCTCCCCCACCTTAACTTCAGCCTCTGAACTGCCTTCCTCAGTGCTTCTGGATCCTGTCATTCTTCTGCTTAAGACTCTTCAATTGCTTCCCAAAAGACTTGAGAAAAAAATCAAAGGTGCCCCTCCCTGCAAAACCCGGTTCTTTTTCCTTCTTCCCCCAATCCTCTCGTGTCCCAACCTGGCCTCCTTTCATTTGCACACGGCAAGCTCCTTCCTTCTCCCCAGAGTCTTTGCACTTAACATCCCCTCTGCCAGGAATGCTTTTCCCTTCACTCCTTCGCTGGTCCCTTTCATCCTGCAAATATCAGCTTAAACGTCACCTCCTCCAAGGAGTCTTCCCTGCCTACTCCTCCTTCACTTTCTGTTTGTGTTCTTTAAACCTCTGACCAGTCTGGGATTATCTTCTTTATTTACTTATTCACATCTAATGCCTGTTTCTAGCAGTCATTGGACACCACTCCTCACATCTGATTCCCGCCTGAGTGATCTGGTTTCTCCTTAGATCAGCCTCCCTGACAGAGCGCCCCCCAAGCAGGCACCCCGCCCTCCCCAGCACAGAGCAGCACTCAGCTCATCTGCACAGGTGAGACTTCTCGAAGCGTCAATTTTCAGTTGCAAGACACCTCCAAGGGGCCTGAGCATGGTCCTTATCTCATTGAAACCAATGTACACGTGGCATAAACATAACTGGGAAAAGCGAATTTTTATTCCAGCTTTATTCTGAAGGAAGAGATACCCAAGAGCTGGAGGGAAGTCATGTGATTGCTTAGACGCATTTTTACAGACTTGGTGAGGGGTCATTGGAAAACAAGCCAACGTCAAAGAGACATCCCCATGAGGCTGAATTACATCCAGCACTTGGTGAACAGGTATATTTATACTCTCTCACTCCTTTGTATCTTTTTGATTTTTTACTCAAAGCAAGCCCTTCCATTGCAATATGTGAGTAAGAGTCTCTGCCGTCACATTTCAGGGATGCCTGTGGTGGCCGGGTTCCCTCTCCTGCTGGCCTTTCAGGTTTGCCTTGTTGGCACCCAGACTCAGGGCCCACCCAGTGCTTCCTCCTCGTCAGGTGAGGCTCTCTGAGGCCCCTCTGCTTTGTGGCCTGATTCCGTATTTGAGCATCAAGTCTTGGCTTCCTGCTCTTTGGTGTCGCCCCCCAACCGCCTGCCCCCGGGGCCATGAGTATCTCCAAACGACACCGTGATGACGTGTCTGCTCCCCCCTCGTCTCAGACATCCCCAAGGCCACAGCCGAACTGGGTTTTGCATTCTGTGTCCAGTTCTGGAACGGAGGCTGGCAGCCAGGAGGTGCTCAGGAATGTTTGGGACTTGAAGCGACTCCAACTGCAGACCCTGATGTCACACGCTCTTCCCATCTGCCCCTCCCGGCCACAGCCCGCCGCTGTCCTCCAAGGACCTGGGCTTGTGTGATCTGGGTGTGCTTTTCCCTTCCCACAAACTTCCACGCTGAACCACCTACAACTGGCCCTGGATCCTCCTGCCAGAGATTGTTCTTTTCCGTGTTGGAGGGCTATGCCCTGTCACCCCCCCACCCCTCGCCCAGAGGGCACGTCTCTACTTCCTAACCAGGGTCCAGAACCACGAAAGCCGGTCTCCAACACCATGCAGATGGACACTGTCCAGGTCGCGTCCCAGGCTCTCCTTTCTCCCCCAAAGTCACGACTCGCTCAAAGAAGAGACAAAAACAGCACCCTGCATCCTTTTGTTTTCTTGTCAGGCCTTCAGACTCACTGAAGACACATTCTGAATTCCTTCTGGCAACAGTGGGGGTCTTGCTGGGCAGGGTGAACACATACCCTACTAGGTGGCTCTCTGATGCTATCTATGTCAGATGTCTTTTGGGGCAGGTATCTGATGGAAAAGCACCCGACGGATATTCCCCTGCCTCTTCCTGCTAATGGAACCCCACTATGTTGAGGCAGTAAATGGGGACCCTTGATCTCAAGGAGGGTGGGATAAATGATTGGTCTAAAGTTGTAATTCTATTCCCCCCTGGACACTTATTGGTCAAAGCAGACCCAGTTGTGACCAAAGAGATATAAGGTGGAAAGGTGTTCAATGAAACGACATAGCCCCTCTTCTTCCTTCTTGCCTTCAATCCAAACTTGATGGCTGGAACCACAGCAGCCATCTTGGGGTCATTAGGGAAAGGTCAAGAGAAATGCAGAGCCACTGTACTACCTACATCTGGGGTACTTGATATGTAAGAAAAATAAACCACTATTTCTGTAATCCACTGTGGCTGGCTTTTCTACTACCTGCTACTAAAAGCCTTCTGATGGCCACTTCTTGGCTGAATGTGACTTGCTGTGGAATGCTGCTTGAGGAACGGTAAAGGAATCTAAACCATGCATGGTGGGGATCCCTTCCCCTTGTGTACTTGTATTTGACAAGGCTCCTTTCCTCCTAAAGAGTACTTTAGTTTCAAAATAAGCGCAACTGACATTAGTTTCCTTGCAAGGATTTGGGGTGAATTGGTTACCTGCCTTGACATTGCTAGAACATGCTGGAATGTGCTACAACAAGGAAAGGAATTCACTGTTTAAGGAATTATTGAAATACTACTGTGCTTTAATTGCAAGATTGAAGAGTCTGTCTCTTAGGACAGAAATCAGAGGAATCAGCTCCTAGACTCACTCTTTCAGCAAAATCAATACTCATGGGTGGCTGGGTAAGAAAGTTAAGAGATGTGGACAGTAAAAAATATCTTAAAGTTCAGTATATTTTGCAGTCACGTGAGGAGCTGAAATCCCTGGAAATCCCAAAGCAGTGATAGGTCAGTGGTGCAGACTTTAACTTCTCAGCCTCACTCGTGCAAAACGGTCTCCGTCACCCCATCCACATAATAACCATGATTACGTAACAGGTCGGCCGTCTGAGAATGATATTCGGTGCCGTGAAAGCTTCCCCTAGTTCTTCCCGCAGTTTCACCTGTGCATGAGTTATGATTCCAACCCACCCCAGGCTGGACCAAAACCAGCTTGGGAATTTGCGGCTCGTGTATCCGTGGCCCTCCCACCTCCTCCCTCCTGTGGGAGCCCGGGTGCCCAGGCTGAGGGGCTGATGACCTCAGAATCCGGCCTTCAGCACAGGCTCGGGGAGTAGCCTAGGAACCCAGGTTCTCTCCTCTGACATCATAGGAGGGTCAGTCTTTGGAAAGGAGAGGATACAGACTCTCTAGTTCTTGCTCCTTCCCATCTGAAACATCCTAAAGGACACCTTGAGGGTAAGGACTGACACAGGCTTGTCATGAAGCTGCTTTCATTTCCTCCTGCCGTGGTTTTCACGAGCAAAGCCAAGGAGATGTGGAGAGAGGGCTCCTTCTAAGACTGACAGACGGTAAACCACCCGCGGGTCTCCTTTTTTCAGGTTTTCTGCACAAAAGCAGCAGAAAAATTTCTGAGGTCAACTGTGATCTTAACTTGCTTTTCCTTATGGCAGCATTGTTAGCAAAGAGCAGGAACACCGAGCAACACTGAGGCACCTACTGTTTGCTGAGGCGGAGCATTGGTTGTGCTAACCATGCCATGAGTGTGAATGGGAATGCTTCTGCAAGTTTTCTTGTGCTGCACGTAATCCCCAAGGACGTGAGGGGAAAATGTCACCACTCCACGTGGCGACCAGGTCCAGGTGGATCCCACGAAGAGGTTCTTCCTGACCTCTAGCCTCTGACCTCTGACCTGCGGTGTTCCCAGGCATCTTGATCCCTTTCAGCTTGCTGATCACTGTTATTCAAAGACGACTTCCTTCTTATTTTTATGGGTCAGTATAGGGTCTATGCGTCTTAGAGCAAGTTCCCCCAGCTGTCTCCCCCCTTGCCCTCTTGGACAGAGGAGAGAGAGGCGACAGAAGTATCTTAATACCCTGGATAGTGTGTAACGTTTATGGTCCATGTGATATGCTCCCCACCGCCCCAAATTCTGAAAATCACAGAGACATCCTAGGACACAGACATGTCGCTCCAGCAAAGGGCTAGCACTCATTTTGCTGAAAATGAAGACTGCTGGGCTCTGTAATTCTTTTTCTAATTAAAGGTATAATTTATTATTATTATTATTTTCATATTCTTTTCCATTATGGCTTACTAAAGGATATCGAATAGAGTTCCCTGTGCTCTACAGTAGGACCTTGCTGTTTGTGCTTCTTTTTCTAGCTTATTCTTAGCTTTAGATAATACCACGAAAGTCGTTTACCTACAGCATCACAACTACCTGTTTCTGAGGTGTTCTTTCAGAAGAAGTAGGTGTATTTTCACATCACTCTACTTCCGCAGATCAAATATTTGAAAAATGTAACAAGAATGCATGACACACCCAATTTCTATTTCCATTTCAAACACAGTTGACATGCTCAGAACCCATCTCAAAAAAGGTGATTTGGACATTGACCCAAATGCAAATGTTCCCGTATACTTAATTTGGGCAATTTTTTAAATCTATCAAAAAAAATCACTGATTTTTCAGAGCTCTAAGATTTTCTTGAATGTTAGGCAGAACTTTAATGGGTTAAAGGTCACTGACATGCCTTCACCTCTGATTCCTGGGATATACTGAATACATGGTGTTCGGAATATGCCAACGCGGTCTGGACAACTGGAAAAGGTTCATCAAATCTTAACCATGACCTTGCCCATGACTGACTGTGGAAAGGCACAGTTGCCTTACACTGTCTAATCTGGATAAAGACAGCAAGATAACAGGGTCCCCAAAGGAAGCCCACCAGGCCAGCCCAAGGGAAACGGTCTCTGCTCCGTGAAAGCTGATTTAATTTCTTTGTTGAGATGGACAGAGGGTTCCTGAGAAACGCTAGTTGTTCCAAGCTGCCCCAACATTTCTCTTTCTTTCCTAGACCCTGACTTTGTTCTTTACCGTACTGTCTCTACCACATAGCAAGGGGAAATTGGAAGAGGAAAAGAGGTACTTACCAAGAAACTTGTTCATCATAAATGAACTGTGAAAAAAAATAAAAAGGAGAGAAGATTAGACAGACACACACACACATACACATGCACACACATGCTTTATAACTGCATGTTATCCGCCCTTGTGGCTGGCTGGTGGGAATTGGGGCTGGGGCCGGTTTGGGGTGTGAAGCATCTGTGGGCAAACTCCCCTCTGTGCTGGCTTAGTCCCTGGTCAGTGTTCGTGGAAGGAGGTCTTGTTGGCAGACTCGGGTGGGCATCAGGCCATCCCAGCCTTCCTGCAAGTTCTGTCAGAGGATGGAGTGAGAGGGAAGCATGCCCAACCTCGTTATTTGTAGAATTTCAGATCTGGAAGGGGATGCGGAGCTTGGTGGGTGCTTGCAAACATTAGTCACTTACGGGTCCCCTGGAAGCTGTCTGTATGTCTCTGCACATCGTACAGCACCTTCGAGCTTTTATGAAATCACCTGAGCTTCTATGGAGATTAGCGAGGGTCAGAAGCAGTGCAAAGGGCCAAACAGAGACCCTCCCTGATCAGTTAGGAGCCGAAGAAAACACACGACAGGACTGAGTTTAAGTCCTACTCCACATAGCATCTAAGATCACTTCTCATTTTGGGGGAAAAAGTGGTATAATCCTGGCCCTTTGATTTATACGGGAAACGGAGCTGCAGTGAACATGAGTAATTTCCCTGGGGTCGTCCAATTAGCTGCAGAGTTGGTCCTAGAACCCAGCCCTGGCTCCTAACTTCGTGTTCTTTCCATGACACCCTTATTTGCCCAGATGGTATGGTGCTGAAACCAAATGAATGCCCTTCTATTTCATTCAAGTAGGAAGCTGTTTCTTCCCACACTCACAGGACGTGACTGATCTGAGCGCGATCATCTCTGAGCAACTTTCGTTCAGGGGCCCCCTGGAGACTCTCAGGCAGAAGCATCTGGGTGTAGAGGGTGATTACTGCACCCAGGTGGTAAACTCGGCTAACAACGGGACATCGCTTCAGTCCCCGGCGATGACAGTGACCACCAGTTGTGAGAGACACAGAGAAAACCTCAAAGACCAGCAGGTGCAGCTGAAAAGGCGCACAAGAGGACCTCCCTCCAATCGCCCCAAAGGAGCATAGAGAAGGATGAGGAGAAGGGAGCCACCCTTTTCTTTGTAACTCACTCTTCCCAACAAGACACTGACAAAGACATTGGCTTCATCAGTCTTTGCCGCTTTGTCATCTGTCATTATCGGATCCAACAGGGCGGCATTTGGATGAAAATGTCAGACCAGAGTGGGAAGAGAAATAAAGAAGTAAAGGGAACCGCCCCACAATCCAGGCTGGATGGTATGGAATTCATTCCCAGGAAGGCATTCCCAGCCGCTATTACATAATTGCTAGCTTTCAAAAAATCCAAGAAATCATGGAACAGAAGCAGTGATTTAAGTTGGAAAATGTTTTCTATTAATTGAAGTTAATTCAATATCAGTCTTGGGCAGCAGGCTGGAACAATCAATTCAGAGCCACTTAAGAGAGCACAAGATACTAGTAAAGAGTTGATTAGATCACCAATTTAATGTTCCTCTCTGGGGAGGGCAGCTAACACTCCGCAATATGCAAGCAGCTCTGAAGAAGCCTTATTTTGTGCCACCTAACTGACAGGTGAAAAAAAAAAATCAGAATGGGCTTAATTGTACAAAGGATTCCAAAGTGAGAGCAGAATTTACAGGGAACACAATAGCAGAGAAATAGTGAGGCATGCCTGGATGCAAACGTGGTGGGGGGAGGGAACCAGAAACTTCCAAACGACAGAGGCAGCGATGCTGGTCCCTGACCACCTGGAGCCCTGAGGCCTCAGCTACCCTGTGGCCCACGAGTGAACACGGTCTGGGTTTGACCCCGCTGCTTCAAGAGGATTGGGTGGAAACACGAGAGCCTCCAAAAAAGAACAGTAACATTGATAAAAGGGACTATAAATCAGGTCTTTGAGAAAACCTGAATGGAAAGAGGCTTGTGTGTGGTGAGGAAAGAGACCTGCCTGCAGAGTCTGGTGGTGCCTGGAGGGGGCCTCCAGCTGACTGTCACCCACCCAGAAGGAAACCCGCACTGTTCACAGACTGTTCCCCTGGGAGACCACATCTCCGGACCACGCCGACAGAGCATGGAACCGGCCTGTCTGAAAACGTACGACGACAAAGGTGGTGACTCTCACTTGGTGTTGTCGATGGTTAGAGCGGATTTCTTATTCCTTACAGATTTTATTTCATTTGATTCTCCTAAGACGAGTGTTGCACATCCCTCCGTATTTTCATGCTCACTCGGTGAGTAAAAGAAGACAAAACAACTTCCCCACCCCTGCTGGCTGGGTGACTAGGGTAGAAGAGAACCTGAAATCACACGCCTTGCCCCACCTGACACATGAAACTGCGCCCCCAGTTCCAGCCGGTCCCCACTAGGTGGCGCTCACGTCCCGGCCCCGCATCCCAGCGGCCCGGCCCCGGCAGAGATGTTGAGATCAAGTTGGACCAAGTCGCCTTGGCGGCTCCATGAAATCTCCTGGGAGGTGGGCAAGGGCCCCTGGACAGACCGCTTCCTGAAGCGGCCTGCGGCCAGCCCACTGCCATCACGCGGCGGGGTGACGTTCTGGAGGCAGCTCCTGCCCGGTGCTCTGAGATGGGGCCGGGTGGGTCCCTCAGTTACACCACACGCAGTCCCCAGACCTGAGCGCAGCGGTCGGAGGTGCCCCACCCTTTTCCCCAGTGGGATTTTGCAAAGGAGACTTGGGAAAGCAGCTCTCTCTGCTCTGCTGGTTGTGTTTGGGGCGAGGCCTCTATTGCCCCACCCCCCGCCAGGGCCCGCGTGGGTGCGCTGATCTCTGGGCCCCAGATTTGCTGCATGGCTGGTCAGGGACCTGCTCTCTGACCCATATCTGGTTCCTCCAGAGCAACCCCCGGCTTCACGCTAAGCTTTCCACGTGTTCCGCAGACGAGCTAAATGGGAACTCACAGGAGTGAATCTGAAAAAACCCTCTTTTCCTCCAGGCCTCCGCGAAACGTTTGGGTACCATGGAAACCAGCTTTTCAGCGCTGGTGTCTGCTCTAGAATTCTTCCGAGAGAGACAGGATTCCATTAGGCAGGTGAATCCCTGGATGACCGAGCAACCCAGGGAACTCAAGGTGGAACAGCAAGGAACAGACAGCCGGTAGTCGCAGGCGAGTGGGCAGGAGAGGAGAGGCCAGGCTGGCCCCGCAGCGCACGGCGGCCCTGGGCTGGCTGGTTGTAAGCGGTAACCATGGCGCTGGGCGGCTGCTGTGCTGGAGCTGAGACCTCGTAGCTTGTACAGTAATCTCTGGCACCATCAGAATTTTAAGCAGTGAAGGTAAAAGGAGAAAATCAACACCATCATTCTCTTTCAGGAGACTGAAACCTTGAACATCTTCCCCGCGTTGCTGGGAAGGGAAACTACTCCCCCCGCCCACCCCACCCCCACACACACGGCGTAGATGCCCTCAGATGTGCCTACGCTTAGCGGAGCCCAGGCGATTCCCTCTGAGGGGAGGAGTCAGATGGAATACACTGGAAAACAGCTGTGAGGCACAGATACGGTTTCCAATTGAAGGGTAAATCATGATTCTGACATGAGCATCTCCAGCTGGCTGACCTGACGGTGCTGGGGATGCAGGAGGGTAGCAACTAAAGGCAGGGCTTGAGCAGAGCTGGACATCCCATATCAACCTGCAGGGCAGGCCACAGCAGAAGAAACAGTGATGAGAGGACCAATTTAGGATACAGGAGATGACGGTTGTTAAAGCAAAAAGTTATGTTCACTCAGCAGCGCAAAAACACAGGCGAGGAACTAAAATGTCCAAGTTGCTGTCCTCGGGAAAGAGCAAGTCTCCTGGAATCCCATCCAGCCAACCTGATTCCCGGCTCTAGGAGCAAATGCTCGGATGCCCCGGCTCCCTCCCTGACCCCAGCACCACTTAAGAGCAGCCCTGCCTCTTCACTGTGGCAGGGATTAGGGAACAGGGGGCCCCCTGGTTTGTTTGAGGAACTTGAATGTTCTCTCACATCCTTCTGTGTGAGAATCTTCTGGCTGCCAGAGTCATTCCCGTTTTGCTGGGGCCCCGAGACGTAATCGTGAACAGAAGGGCCTCAGGGTCTCCAAACTGGAGAAGAAGGAAGGGCCTGAGGGGAACGGGCCGTGGAGGACAGCGGGCACCAGAGGACAGTCAGCAGGGTACATGTCAGGCACTTTCCTCTCACAGAAAGGGCGAGATAAGGAGATTTAAGATGGAAAGACTTCCAGGAGAGGGAGGCAGACGTTCAGTCTCCAAATGTAAAGTAAGCGCTTCCTCCGGGCGCCCCTGTGAAGGTGGACTTCATGGTAGGTGGGGTAAAGCCAGACTGTACGAGGCAGGTTTTGTTGGCGGGAAAACCTGAATTCTTTGCTGGGCTGATGCAGCTGTACATCTTATCCTCCTGCTCTGGTTGGCCTGAGAGGTTGCAGCTCGCTCACCTTGAGCAAATCCCTGGATTCCTGGAGCCTTGGTGTTGCCATCTGTAAAATGGGACTCCTATCACAGCTGCTTGCGCGGTGGTGAGTATTGAACTAGGAAATCTCCATCGACCGACCCAACACTGTACTTAGTCCCGTAGGAAGTATGGAGTCTATGACTGTTAAAAGTGCCCGTGAGAATGTAGGTATACTTCCTCTGGAAGGATTTGCTCTCTACAACTGTGCTATCCAAGCTGATAGGCACTAGCCACATGTGGCCTCATACATTGAAATTAATGAAATAAGGTTCAGTTCCTTGGTTGCAATGGTTGCATTTCAAGAGTACAATGGCTAAATGGGAAAAGAATTTGAAAAAGAATAGACACATGTATATGTACAACTGAATCACTTTGCTGTACACCTGAAACTAACACAACATTGTAAATCAACTCTACTCCAATATAAAATAAAAATTTTTAAAAAAGAGCTCAAAGGCTCACATGCTTGGTGGCTATCATATTGGACAGTGCTGCCTAGGCTGTCTCCGGCAGATGGGTCAGCTGAGTTGTCTCTTTATCAGAGTGGGGGGTTGCACTGAGTGAGAGGGCAGTGTCACCTCGGATGAGCCTTGCTGCTGTGCCGGTGCTCAGGTTGCCCTGAGGGGCCCCCCAACTGGCCCTTCTCCAGGTGGGCAGCCCCTCCTCCCCCAAGCTGCATTTGTGAGCCTGTCTGTTATCTGGAACCTGTCTCAGAGGCCTCTCCATACCCCCTGGAAGTTTCCCTTCTCTTGGTGCTCAAAATCCCCCATCTTGAAGCAGAGATGAAGGGTAAAAATAAAGTATTCCTCTTAGGGCAGCTGTTAGATTGACGATGTAATGAATCATTTGCATTTATGTAAATTACATGATTATGTAAATTACAGTAACATTTCAATAAAAGAGACTGTCTGTCGGGTCTGCTGGAATTTGGAGAAAGAAGATGGGGAGGCTGGAGCTGCCACAGTCAGATGGGGGTGGGTCCTTGGTGTGAGAGACAGCAGCAAGAGTGTCCATGAGGGTCTGCAGACTACCCATCGTGTAGATGCACACAGGACATGCTCCGAAGGACCCAGGATGCTCTCAGAACCTAAACAGCGACACTTCTCTTGCAGAAAGAGACCCAAGTCATGGGGCGAGCTTCCTGGGCCATGTCAAGCTTCTCCAGGGCCTGATGCTTCACTGTAGAGAATGTCACCTGGGCTAAAGGGGGATGCCTGATGGGGCAGGGGAAGGGCGCTGAGAGACAGGCGCTGTACGCTTTTGCAATTAGAACTGCTTTAGATGAGAGCATGTTCTTAATTTCTTCCGCTCTCTATTTATTTTTTCGCTCTCTCTTTAAAAAACAGCAACAACAAACAAACTGGAAAATAGCAGAGAGCAAAGGTCAGGTAAATCCCAGATATCGACGTGAACTGAGTCCCCTGTCTCTAAGTTAACCGTTTGAAGCTCTGTTGGTTTCAGAACACCCGTGCTGTGCTTCTGCTTTTTGGCCTGGGCCTCTACAGCAGCTTCCATGTCAGCTGTTTCAGAATCCAGGTAGTAATGACCCCATCAGCACTCCCTGGACCCGTGGCCCTAAGCCTCCCTGGAGACGTGGTCTTTCCTGCTCTTTGGATCCCCAGCCCTGAGGGACTGTCCTCGGGGCTCCTCCCTGTGGGCAGATGTATTTAGAAGTGGCCTCTGGTCCCATTTAGTCTGGACTTGCCCTCCGGGTGAATTAGCTCTTCATTGCGGCACCTCAGGGGACTGCCTTCTGAACATTTCAGAGCCATAAAAAGGGGGAGAGGGTAAAAAAAAACCCTAATAGTTAAAATAAATTATTCAGATAATTATTGGTAATTATTTGTGGGTAGGAGGAGTGTTCTAAGTACAGGACTTTTCAGTGCCCATTGCAGAGTCCGATGGAGAAGCTTTGTGTTATACAAGGAAAACCCAAAGAAAAGTGATGCTGTTACCATGACATTAGGGAACACATAGAAAGAGGAGACTAGGAAACCTTGACGGAAAGATATGGCGTGTGGAGCAACAGCCTGGGGCTGGCGCACGGAAGAGATCTGTGGACATGGACGAACCTCCTTTGCTAAGCGCTGCTCTTCGGGTATGAGGCTGTTTTGCTCTTCAGGCTGGTTTTAAGTCTCATGTGAAAATGACCCCAAGAACGAACAGCCCTCAGAAATCCAGCCAACCAAGCTGCCATGATCGTCCCCTTTCGAGACGATCCTCGCCTGCAGCAGACGAACATCTGAGGAAATGGTGTCCAACCGTGTTTGAGGTTGAGTTTCTCCAAGCACAGTGGGTGCCGCTGGCATCAGAATCACGGGGGAAGATCCTGGTTGAAGTGAAGCTTCCTGGGTCCAACCCCAGGATCTACTGAATTAGAATCTCTGGTTTGCATGTTTCCAGGAGACATGCTGAGCGTTTCCTGTGCTGCTGAATTTGGAGGAACACCACTTAAAGTAGAAAGAACCGAGACCAAACCCTGAGGACCCAGACGTTCTCTTTTCCATTACTTCCTAACAGTGGAGAAAGGTAATTTTTCTCGAGATCATAAAAATCTAGCCTTGACGTCAGGTCGGTAAATACACAGTCCAATCTCTAGGTCACAGCAAAGAATCACTTGCTTTTGACTCTGTTGCCATCGGAGGGAACACAGAGCTGCTGGCATCCTGCGAGCAGCTGAGTCAGCTCTGATTCATCCCCAGCAGGTGATTGCTTTGCCCAAAGACCCCGCTCGGGTGAGCGTCGCCCACAGCCTGAGGATGCAAAACCGCTTTGTTTCTTCACACGTCATTAGCAACAATTACATTTGTTCTATCTTGAACACGGCCAGATAAATGTGACAGAAGACAGGTTGTTTCACACACGGTCCAGGAGGTGTCTATGTGAAAACAGTGAAACTGACACCAGCAGATCTGCCGACGGGCGCGACGGGCGTGGACGCTGCCGGGTCCGTGCTCCCAGGGGGTCTTGTTTTTTTTTTTTTTCCTTTGGTATACATTTATTTACTTATTTATTTTTGCCTGTGTCAGGTCTTCGTTGCTGTGTATGGGCTTTATCTCTAGTTGCGGCGTGCAGGGGCTACTCTTTGTTGCGGTGCGCGGGCTTCTCACTGCGGTGGCTTCTCTTGTTGCAGAGCACGGGCTCTAGGCGCATGGACTTCAGTAGTTGTGGCACGTGGGCTTCAGTAGTTGTGGCTCTTGGGCTCAGTTGCTCCACGGCATGTGGGATCTTCGACACGGCTCAAACCCGTGTCCCCTGCATTGGCAGGTGGATTCTTAACCACTGCACCTCCAGGGAAGTCCCTCCCAGGGGGTCTTGGACTGCGTGGTTCTGGCTCATCGCCTTGTCTCTAGGAGGGTGGACACCTCCTTCTGGAATTCAGTAAAATGGAGAACTGCGTTCATTGACACCATCCACTAACACGTCTCTTGAAAAATGTAATTTTCAGAAATCATCCTAAACTACCCTGACAGCAGAAGAGCAGAGTACAAGTGAGCCGTATGGGATCGGGCATCCCTGGACAAAGATTCTGCAGGGCGTGTTTGAGCAGTCTGGGCTGGGTGAACAGAGGCTTCTAGATCTGGCGGTGATCGTACCTCTTCCACAGGTACAAGAACATAGAGCTCATAGGTGTCCTTAAGTCTGCTGACCGGGAATTCAACAGACACACTGTGTTTTCAGTCCAACGTGTACGTCGGAGCACTTCTGCCCTTGGGGGGCTGGTCTCAACCCTCCTGATCGTCAATCGCCCCTGGAATGAGGGTGCTGTGGTTGTAAACCCAAGCTCTTCACTTGGAGCTGCTGTTGACTTAACTAACCCATCTGATTCCTTGGGGAAAGTCTTGTATTAAACATCACTTTTGACTTATTTGTATATAGCTTTATAATTAAATCTAATTTATAATTAAGTTAATTATTTGTAATTAAATAATATACAGGTAAGTGCTTTGTAAACAGGTAAGTAAATCCTTCAGAGGATCTATTTCCGTTCTGTGCGTAAGGAAACTAAGACCTGGAGACACTGATTTCTCCAAGGTCATTAGAGCTAGCGAGAAGGGGACCCGGGTTAGGAGCCAGGTCTCCCGATTCCCATGTGTTGTTCTGACTTGCTTCCCTTCTCCTAGACGGCTCGGCTTGCCAAGCTAAGGGATTTGGGTTTGTCCCCACAGGACATGGAGCCGCTGATCATATAAACACAGGACTGGCATTTGCAGGTGTTCTTTGTCGAGACACCGTCTGGACAGCTCTGAGGACTGACCAGGGAGGGGGTGGGCAGCTGTGATTCTACTCGTTACATTAATCCGCAATGAGCTTCATCAGTGCAGGCCAGAGACGCAAAAAGCCTCAAGGAAAACAGGCTACGGGGGACACACTGGGGAGACTTTTACAAAGTGAAAATCCACAGGACACTGATGCCAAATGCGTATGTTGGGAGTTGGGGGGAAGGTCAGTTTAATATCATTCCCAGGCTGGGTAGCTAGGGTAGGAACAGGGGCTGAAATAAAGGAGGAGGGTCCAGTTTGGGGAAATCATCCCAAGTGTAGAGACACATTGGGTCTGGGGCATGAAGGTGTCTAGTAGAGAGTTGCTTACCCACTGCTAGGGACACAGTGTAGGCGTGTCCACGTGAAGGCGGTAATGGCAACGGGTACTGTGGGACGGGCAGGGCGTGTCCTGGGAGAGTGCACAGAGTAAGGGGGAGAAGGAAGGTCCACACCCAGGGATGCTGAAGGAAGTTACAGAGGAGCCCATGAGGAAAGTGAGTGCCAAGGGTCGGGAGAATCGTAGGAAAACAGCAGGGGATGCTCATGGAGCTGGGGGACCAGAGCCAGCTCCTGTTCTGAGCACCGGACCATCAGGCTGGGGTTCTGAGTGATCAAAGTAGCCGCCTCCACGCACCTGCTCCACTTGGAGGAGCCACACGTCACCCCAAGCTGAGAAGGATGATTGGGAGATAAGAGGCCAGGGATCCAGGCGAGGTGCCCATCACACACTTACCACGATGAGCGCAACCACGGACAGCGTGTAGTAAATGGAGTCCCTCAGCAGGCACCAGGAGGACAGAGCCACAACCTGGAGGAAAAAGGGAGAGGAGGTGAGAAGCAGGACATCGACTGTGCAAGGGACACAGCCTGGCTCCTGGAGCTGTGGCCAGTGATGACCCAGACACACAATCTAGCATTTGTGTCTCTGTCCCGGAGACCCAGGCCATCTGCCAGCTGATAGGAATTTACTTAAGTCTTTAGGCATAACAGTCTGGGTCTCCTGAAAATCGGATGCCAAGATGGGGTTGAACCTGCAAGGACTTCATTAGGGGGAGATGCCCAGGAGAGGAGACCAGGAGTAGGCCGGGGAACCGGGAGGCTGCCCAGCCATAACTCGGGTCTGACCCCCAGGGGAGAGGGAAAGCTGGGTAGACGGACAATCTGAGGCAGGTTCTGCACAGCCGAGCCAAAGTCCCATGTCTCCCAGGAGCCCGCCAGCCTCAGCATCCCTAACTCCACATGGACCATAGGAGTTACCCGACCCTGGGTCCTTGTCAACACTCTACCCAGGGCTGGGCAGCTGCCACCCTTCAGAAGAGGCGCGGACAGTTGATTTGCAGTCTCCCCCCCACTCCCCGCGCCCTCTTCTCTCCTCTCTATTGTATGCCAGGCCTTGTGGGCACTTGACCCCTGGCTTAATCAGAATTTTTAAAAGATTGATTTGCGTATTGATCTGGAGAAAACATTATCTTAGCAGTGGGGAGCTGTCCCTTTAAAGATGTGGTGAATCTGCTGAGGCCAGTGGACACCTTGCTGGAGGATAAGCAGGCTTGGCCTCCTGTGTGCAGACTTCCTGCAGGAGAAGGAGGCCCCTGGTGCAGAAGGAGGGGCGGGGCCCCGCTGGGCATTGTGGGAGGAGGGGCTGCGGGGAGGGGTGGGGGAGGAGAGAGGGGGAGGGGCCCAGGTTAAGATCCGTGCTCTGGAGAAAGAGTCACTTCTCCTCTGCAAATCCTTCAAAGTCTCTTTTGGAGCAAAAGCTGGTATTTTTCCTCTGCTCTGCAGAGTAGGTCCATTTTTGCAGACTCTCCCAAAGGAGCCTGGGAGAGTCCCAGTGCCCTGTCGGAGGTGCTTCCTGGGCTGTCACTCACAGTCCCTCCCACCTCCCTAGAAAAGTGTCAGCCACCCCAGGGCCACAGGACACTTCTAGCTGCCTTTGCCCTTGGCCTCAAAAGCGGAAAAGGACACAGCAAATGCCACCTCTCAGCTGGGACAGTGACAGGCACACGGTGCACCAAAGACAACAGGAAAAGGGATTCCAGGGACAAGGCTGCCTTTGGCACCTCTCCCCTCCCCTACTGCTGTGTGCGGCTATGAAGAAAGGATCAGGCAAAGTCAAACCAGACAGGGCTTTCTGGATTCAAATAACATGAAAGATATCACTTAAATAGAACCATAAATGAATAATGAGGCCAGCTTCTTTTCATTAACGCATTCTTCCACTGCTGTAGGGACACTGAGGTATTTTCTGTTGCTAATTTTGCCTTATATGGATGTGTATTTGCAGAGCTAAGTTACAGATGACAGGGTTGTCAAGAAGAGAACTTGTGCCACGAGAATCACTTTAGAACAAACTTTACCCTTTTATCATCTCTCCTTGGACCGTATAGTCTTAGAACCTGTGACCATCACTTATCGTCTATGGAACAGAACAAATTGGACTAGACTGTTCATTTTCCATCAGGTCATAAAACGCGGTGAATATTTTAAAATTTATTATAGTTAGGCTAATGGACTTAAAACATGTGGCAAATATCAATTCTGAATTTTCTTAAAAAATCACTTGGGCTTTTAATTAAAGATGGCAGATTGAACACATACCAGTACCTTTGCTCTTTCTTGTTGCACTATAACAGGGTAACAGCAAAAGGACTGTTTTTTGTTGTTTTTTTTTAACAAGAGATAAACCTGGGAGGAAAGGAGAATAGAAGAGCTGATCAGAGCAACGAAAGTTTGGAGGCTGAAAGCAGAAGAACAATTGGTCATTCAGCAGGCAGTGGGCCAAGCTCTAGAGGTGATGGTAAATGTGGCCTGAAAACGGGATGACCGTGAGACTGTTTAAGAATTCAATCCCAAACCTCCTCCCTCTCTTCAAGCAGACCAGTGACTGCACATCCCTCACCTTATCAGAAACAGGAGACCTGGCATTTAAAGAAGAGAAGTTCCAGAAAAAGGAGGAGAGGAAATAATCAAATAAATAATTAAAGATTCCCAGAAGTTAAGGATGTGCATTTTCCAGCACAAAGGACAAAATGATGCATACCAATGCACGTCATTGTGAATTTTCAAAAGGCCAGGACCAAAAAATGGTCCTAGAAACTACCAAAGAGAGAAAAACAGGAATATATACAAAGGATCCAAACCAGAATGACATTTTATTTCTCAACCAAAGCACTGGAAGCTAGAAGACAATGGAGGAACGCCTTCAAGATTAGAAAGGAAAATGATTTCAACCTGGAATTCTACACTCAACCAAATTGTTCATTAAGGGTGAGAGAAGACTAAAAATAAAAGTTTAATTATCTCAGAAAAAATGTAATTCCTACGTATCTTTTCCCAGAAAGCTACTGGAGGATGTGCTCCACTAAAATCAGGGAGTAAAACAATTGTTACAGAGAATTATGTTACAATAAACCATTAAACCAAACAATAAAAATCTATCATAATAAGTGAAGAAGATTTCCAAGATGGTGATGAAGGAAGATTCCAAAATGATGGTAAAAGGAGAATCCAAGATGAAATTTTTGCAGCAGGTCAGAAGACTCAGACGAAATGATGCCAGAAGGACAAAACTGATGGAAAATCTTATGATTTTGAACCCACGGAAAAGAGACTGGAGATCTCTGGGAACAGAGCATAGATACCTCAGCAAACAAACAACAAAAAAAAAGACAGTTCTAAACCATGGGGAAAACAGAGTTGCGCAGGAAAGGAAGATGAATCATTACTCGTTATTGGCTCAGCTATAAACAGTGGTCACATAGTCATAATAAACACAGCATAAACTACTGTCTAAGCGAATTTATGGTGTAATTGTTTGGGGAGGACAGAGGGCTGGGCAATCGGGGTGGGCAGGGCTGAAAGAGACCTTAACCTTCCTCTTCCACACTACTGTGAAGCCATGGAGCATTCTGGAAACTGAAAAGTCAAGTAACTGCCATAGAAGCACATTATTTGCAGACACTGAGCAAGTGTCAGGAACAACCAAACTAGTGGAAAGTAGCTGCTTCTGAAGGGTGGGACGCGAAGGTGGCTGTCTTTCATAAGCCTTCTGGAAGTGGTTGCCTCTTTAAGCTCTGTGCATATAACTTTAATGAAAACAAAAACTAAAATAAGAAAGTATAATACAAGTTATCCACTTAGATTTACTCCTGCAAGAAATGCACCTCACGCTGAGCCTAGATGTCAAATCTGCATGGATAGTGATCTATTTTTATCTCTTTATAAATAGAATAGTTTTCAATGTATAGACTATCTCCAAATTTCAGCTCCAGATTCAGAGCCTACATTTACCAAAACCAATTTTTAAAAAATTTATTTATTTAAAAAATTTTAAATTGAGGTATAGTTGATTTACAATGTTTCAGGTGTACAACAAAGTGATTCAGGTATATATATATATATATATATATATACATACAAACACACACACGTATATATTCTTTTTCAGATTCTTTTTCATTACAGGTTATTACAAGGTATTGAATATAGTTCCCTGTGTTATAAGCAGGTCCTTGTTGTTTATTTTATATATAGTAGTGTGTATCTGTTAATCCCAAATTCCTAACTCATCTCTCCCCTCACTTTCCCCTTTGGTAACCGTAAGTTTGTTTTCTATGTCTGTGAGTCTATTTATGCAAAACCAATTTTTTCTATAGAAGCAATGAACTGGAGGACAAATAAGGAGGCAAATTAGGGAATAATTTTTTTTTGTTTGTTTTTTTAGGGAATAATTTTTCTCCACACTCTAGAAGGAATTAAAGCATCGGTGGTTCTGCAATATCTATAGTGAAAGCTGTGACCATGACCTCATGTCCACCTCTACCTTCCCTTTCTGTGACCACTAGTCACCACAGTAGTGAAGATTTACCTGACACTTCCTGCAAACAAGAGGACTGGAAGGGTTATTTCATTCAATCCTACAGCAACCCCAAAAGGTGGGCAGTGTCACCCTCATTGACCAGCAATCTGGACCTGACCAAGGTGAAGCCTTGACCACGGTCGTACAACTACCAGTGGGGTGGGGGCTTGGATCTGAACCCAGAAGCCTGGGTCTCACGGCCCTGACCCGACACTCTATGCTACAATGCGTAAACAGAGGCAGGGTAAAAGCAGATACCCATTTGTGACACCTCCCATGGAGATATTTTTTTTCTCCATGACATTAAGCCATTAGGCAGGTGCGTTAGAGATGGTAGCCAAAGGAGGGAAGAGTTGGAGGTGAGAGACCAAAAAGCAGCTACCACAGCTCCATTTAAAAATATACTGCTCTAAAGAGACTCAGGGCAAGTTATCAAGGCAGAAGGAGTGACCACAGTGACAATAGACAGGGATACAGATAGGGTGTGGACATATTCCAGGAGGGAGAGAGTCAGTTAGAAAACTGGGAAACTACTCCATTTAGCTAGCGTTTTTTTTTTTTTTTTTGTAAAAAAAACCAATACGGTTCATTGTTTGCTTATGGAATATTTTGCTTTTCCACAGATGTGGATACACTGATGCTTGGTTCTAAGCCACTCTCTTTGCTCCTTGGTGAAGGGGCTTTTATCTCGAGAAGAGGCCAGCAACCATCTGACTCATTCGTTGGCAGGGAGGGATCTGTCAGCACCCCTGCATCAACACGGGAGGGAGGCTCTTTGGCATCTGTTGGCAGGCGTCACCCAACCCAGAGCGGGGGAGATGGTGATGAGAAGACAGTGCTTCCTGAGCACTTTGCGAAGTGAACAGGGGTCCTGGGAGAGAACCAACAGTGAGTAATGCTGCCCTTGACCTCATTAATCAATAATACAGATGGCACAGATTATGAGAGGC